CCCCGGGGGCCGCGGCAAAGTCCCTCGCACCACCAAAACCACCCCAAGCGGTGCGGGAACCGGAGGGCGTTGATGCCAAATGACCCCGCATCTCCCAGGAAACAGCACCCGTGGGAAGAGCCCCCTCGGACCGACCTCTGTCCACGGCTCTTGGCCTTCGGCACCGAATGGGTGGGCGTGAGGACGGGACAGAGGTGTGGGAGGGACACACAAACCCGGGGACACCTGGACCATCCGCTGGAAACACCACACCAGCCACACACCTGCCACCTCCAGCTCCACCACAGCTTCTCCATAGGAGTCAGCATCTTGCACAGTGCAGACGTACTGGCCGTCATCAAAGGGTCTCACCCCAGTGATCCGCAAGTCCAGGATTCCACTGGAGAGACCATCTCTGGCCAACTCTGTCCTTCCAATGTACTCTTCCATCTGTGCCCCGTACACATCCTCTCCATTTCGATAGAGGTGCACCGTTTCAGACATCTGGTGCCGGATCCACCTGATCTCCAAGCTCCGAACATCCACGGCGGGGGACAATTGACATGGCAGCACGATGTCCTGCCCCACGGTGGCACGCAGAGGGTGGCGTGGTGCCACCACTTCGAATTGAGCTTGGTGAGGGAGAAGGACACAGAGATGGCGCCTACGTTAATTGAGGGGTGTCGCACGGCGAGGGGCGAGCTCGGCGTGAGCGGAGCACGCTCCATCTTGTGGGCAGCGCTTCGCCCTCCCCGTGCTCCAATGACACTGGAGAAACTGGAGAGGGAGTGGGAGGACTTGAAGGAGAAGGAGGTTTCCTGGGAGGGGGAACCTGCTGCAGAACATGACCCCCACCCAGAGAACGGCCCCCACCCCAGCCACAAACGCTTCAGGGCAGCACTGCGGGACGGGACCATGGGTGGCCCGGGGCAAGGGGACGTGTGGCATCAAGAGCCAAAGCGAAAGCGAAAGGAGAACCCACAGGCGGCCGAGCTCTGGGTTTAGGGCCCTCCACCCCAGGGCACCTCCCCTGCCCCACAGCTCCCACCCAGAGCGGGCGAAAGCCCCCCCGTCCCTGCAGCATCCCTACCTGATCCCAACCGCAGGAGGTGGAGAGTCACCACAAAGCCCAGGAGGCCCCTGGGGATGGCGCGGAAGCCCATCTGCGGCCGCAGCTGGAGCAGAGGGTGGGAGGGGAGGCAGAGGGCGGTCAAGGGGGTGTTCCAGCCACCGCAGAGGCCATGGGGGAGAAGGCGCCCAACAGAGGCTCCACAAGTCCCACCAAAGCACCTGCACCACCACCCTGGTGTCGGGAGGAACCCTCACTCCAGGGTGGAATGGGACCACAGGCGGCTCCCGCTGCAGGCCCTGCTCTGCCCCTCTCTCCGTCCCCACCATTTGCCTACAAAGCTCTCAGAAATTAAGTCTTCTAAACCCCCCACCCTTCCGCAGAAAGAGAAGTCACTCACCGGAGGGGCGCGAGCTGCCGGAGGCTGTACCCAACGTCTCCAACCTTTGTGAGAGTTTTGGGTGCAGATCTTGGGGCTTTGGAGCGGCTTCAGGCTCCACCTCCCCCAACAGAAGCTGCAGTTCCTCTTTCTGAGACGCTTCAGAGTCCGGAGTCATCTAATGAACCTCCAAGGAGAAAGCGCTGAAGGGAATCAATCACCCTCCCCATTGTGGGTTAGGAGGAGGTGGAGGTGCCTTCTCCCAGGTCTGCGCCTCTCGTGGAATCCTCTGCTGTGGCAGAGACTCAGCGAGGTTTTTACTCCTATAAATACGCATTTTCTCTCAGAAAACAGCCTGGTGTAGGAGGACGGAGCTGCTGAGCTTCAGCTCCTCAAGGAGCCGTCTCATCACCTCTGTCCCGTCTTTGATCAAGAAGCCCCAGTGCTGCTAGACAATGTGCCAGGTCCCCGGTGGCACAAACAGCGAAGCCAAAGCAGCGATCCGGCTGGTGGAACCTTGGAAGAAGTCTCTTCCCAACTACAGAGACAGCCTTTGGTCAATGTCTCGGTTGGCTGCCCGGGTTCTGAGCTGCAGGAGCTTCTCAGCACCTCATCCCCAGCGCCTTCACAAGTCTGCACTGGGCTGGCAGTGACGCCAGAGAACGTCACCTGGATGTGTCTGGATGGCTCTGTGCTGGACACCCACCAGTGAGTCCAGTTCATCCCTTGGGTTTGTCCCCAAAACCAGTCTGGGTCCTGCTCTTGGGGTTCTCCAGGAGCTTTTTCTGTCTCCCCACCCAAAGGACAGGCACCTTCTAACCCCTCTTGCAGGTTCCCCAACTTGGTCTCTGCCACCACCGGCAGCTGTGCCCCAGGGAAAGGCTCCCAAATCTGCTCCGATGGCAGAGGGGGCTGCAAGAAAGACACCATCACCCTTGGGGCTCCTCTGGTCCTGCCTGCGGCCCCACGGCTGGAGGGGGAAAATACCTTCACCCCTCTTCTTCCTCCACGCCACGGCAAGGAGGGGATGGTGGGACAAGTGCCTGCATTTCCACCCCACCTCCCTTCGCCCTCTTGCGGTGGCCACAGCACTTCCCCACCAGGAAGGACGGAGAAGGGAAAAAGCCCCACTTTTCTCTAGGGAAAAGATGGGGACACGGATCTCCCCCCCCTCCTTTCCTGCCTGGAGCCATCCCAGAGCTGCATCCCACGGCTTGGTCCTTCCCACAACCCCAGGAGCTGCCAGACAACGTTGAATAAGGCAAGAATCTTCCTTTTTTTTTTTTTTTTAATTTTTTTTTTTTTAAACCAAATCCTGCTAGAAGCGATTCTCTTGCAACACCATAAAAAAAATAAAAAAATAAGGAAAAAAAGGTGCACAACGAGCAGAAAACATACCCTGAAGGTGGAATGGGTGAGGAAAGGGAGAACTCACGGGCAGAGACGGAGGTGGGAGCCTCTCCCCACCCAGAAGAAAGGGAAGACACTCTCCCCACCAAATGAGACCTTTTGGAACGTAAAGACAGGGGGGTCATGCTCAGCCAGGTAAAATGCCACTTGCCCCCCTCCATAGTCCAAAGCCACCCGTACCCTCCCAGTTTCACCAGTGGTGGGGAAGGTGGTGATGGGGGAAGCGAAGACGCGGTACCGATCCCCCCACCGCCCCATGGCCCAGATCCCCTTCTCTGGTTGAAACTCAAGCCAACCCTTCCTAGGGACGGAACGTCGGGCCACCCCCAGCGCCCAGGTCCTGCCTGCGGCCACCTCCACCTCCCAGCAGTGTCTCCCCGTGGTGAAGCCCCGATAGCCCAAGACACAGCAGGAAGCATCGAATCGTTGAGGGGTGGGGGGTAGATCTTGCCCAGCATCCGTCCATCTCACCCCCCGCCGGTCCCGGGACAGGAGGAGCCGGGCGTTGGCGGTGTCAGGGTCCAGAGTCACGAATGCTGCCAGGGATGGAGAAGAAAGTGGCATTGGAGGAGCATATCTCACCCCAAAAAAAGCTCTGCTCCAGCTGGGACGAGCCCCAGCATCACACATCTGCTTGGGAGCAGACATATCTCCACATCTTCATGCTTGGGAATGCCTTACCTCACGCTGGAGGACTGGGCAGAGCTTCTTTGTATCTTCAGGAACCCCAAAGAGAGCTCAGCTCCTCATTTCCCAGCCATCTTAAGCACCGTTTTGGCTAAAAACGACTTTGCCGGAGCCCTCCCTTGGAGCTCCTCCGAAGAAACTCACCTTTTCCATCTCCTCCTAGAGACGGTCCTTGCTCTTTCTCCAGTTCGGATGGCAGAATGTCTAGGGGATGAAGAAGAAAGGTTGGACATCCCACTCTCCAGCCGGTAATTCTCACTCTTGCCCCCATCGTGTTTTTTTCTGGGAAAATGGGGAAACCAGCAGCAGAGCGAGCTGTCCCCTCCTGGACTGGAGAAAATAACCCCCAACAGACCCAGTCACGCTCCACAGTACCTTGAAGTCTCCCCAACGTCTCTCTGAGGACATCGTTTTGGCAAGAAATGACACGGAGCCTCTGCTCCAGGTCCGAGAAGGTCTCCACCATCCTCCGAGCGCTGCCCATTTCCCACCTGGATGCAAACCATTAGACACGGGACTCGGCATGACGATATGAGATGTCAGGACCATCCCTCCTTCCCCCGTGCCCTTGGTGACTTGGCAGGCGAGCTGGCTGTCCCCAAAATGTCCCTCTGTCCCAGGCTCAGAGATACCAACCAGCTCTGTACAGGAGGACACTTGGATCCCCCGTTGCCCTGATGGCCAAGAGGACCTCCAGTCTGAGGGTGCTTTCTCTCATGGTGTCCCCACACCGGGGTTCAGGGGCACCTTCTTGTCCCCACACCCTCACTTCAAACTCTCCCTGAACTGCCAAAATGTCCATTTTTGTTCCAGAAACCACAGGGATGCTGCCTGTGAGCCTTCCCCCCAACTGTTGAGACGTGGGTGGTGGAAGAGCACATACCTGTCCACAGCACTCCGGGCATCCTGGAAGAGAAAGAGAAAAGCCTCAGTGTCCCATCCCAAAACTGGGGGAAGACTCCAACCAAGGTGTCATTGGACCCTCTTCTATCTTGTCCAGTAGAGCACCTGACCTGCAGGAATCTGCTCGCAGGTTGCTCAAGCTTCTCCTCCATCTGGCAGATCAGGACATCGAGGAGTGAAATCTCCCCCAACATCTTGGTGTCCTCTTCCTCCTGCCTCCTCATCATCTCCCTCTCCAGCTCTCCCAGCTGAGCCAGGAGGACAAGCTCTTGGTCCTTCAGAAACCGGCGCAGGTGCCGAAATTCGGACACAACCTTCTGCCTCTCCACCTCCGTCTGCGTCTGTGGGACATGGAAAGACACCACCATGGGCCACACTGGTCCATGGGCCACACTGGTCCAACACACTTATTTTTTTTCTGGGTGGTGGCAACAGCTACTGACCAAACAGTCCTGGCACCGCCTCTCTCCGCTCCTTTTCATTCCCAAAATCTCTTCCCTTAGTTTCTTGAGCTTCTCCAGGTCACCACGTATTTGCTCCTGGAAGAGGAAAAAATAGATTGGGAGGGTATCTAGGGGGGCATTGGGGAAGGGATGGGGTGCTTGGAAACACTGTCCCTGCAGCATGGGCACGAGGATGGAGAAGACACGGGAGGACAACAGAGGAACCGGTTTCATTCTCGCATGAAAGAAATTGGAAAACACCTGTTGATTGATTTGGGGGAAAGGCTTCGGTCTGAAAATTAATATTTTTAGCAAAAAAAAAAAAGAAAGTTGTTTGCTATTTTTTTTTCTAGCTCTCCCCAGTTATTTCCATTTATTTATTTTCATGGCTGGGGGGGGAAACCCCAAAACTTCAAAGCCGGCTTGAAGCCTGCGGTCCCGAGAAGCTCAAAGAAACAACATTATCTCTTAAAGTGGTTCGAAAAAAAATTCAGAAGAGGAATAACCCGAGCTCGGTCGTGGACCTGACCTTGTCCTCCTGGGCAGATTCCTCTACGTGGGCTGTAGTGGGACCTCCACGAGCCCTTGGTCCATCAGGGCTGGAACCAGATGCTTTTGCACCACCCTTGAAGGTGACCATCCTCTTGCGCCAGTAGCAGAGGTGCTCCTTCTCCTCCCCACCTCCTTCCAGCTCCAAGAGCTTCAGCTTCTCCTCCAAATGCTCCAAATGCAATTTTGGCTGGAAATTCCCTTTCCTGAGCCGACTTCGGTGGCTGACTGCCTCGGTATCTCCAAGCCTTCCTCGCTCTGGCCAAGATCGGGCCATGCCACCTCCGCAGCTGGTGGGGTTGGAGCCCAGGGAGTCAGGATGCTGTGGGACAGTGTGGTGGGTTCTTTCTTCTCCCTCTTCCCTTGCTCTAGATGAACCGGAGGCCATGGCAGCAGCTTCTCCAACCTCTCTTGCTCCTCGTCCCCTCTCTGCCTGCAGTGGAGTGAACAGAGAAAAGGTCTCAGCATGGGTGGAGGAAGGAGGAGCAGGGGAGGGAAGCTCTAACCTCTTCTAGATGTTAATTTTGGGAAGGGATGAATGGTCCTCCAGCGAGCCTTGGACTTTAACATCCATCTCATGAGCACTGAGGTTTGTCTCACCTATGTCCAAGCCTGCGCTGACGTCTCAGGTTGGTGTCTCCACTCCTGGGACAGCCAGAGCGGAAGAAGCCAACCTTCCCACCTGGTGGGAACTGGCATTTCATCCCCAAAATTCTGTTTCTAACCCTCTCCCTTGCTGGTACATGGCCTGGTGTCCCCCCAACGTCTGCTTCCCACCCTTCAAAGCATGGACCAAAGCCTTCGGGTGCGCTTGCCAACAGGGAAACCCTCCGACGTTGCGCAGAAATGGTGTGGAAAGTGGATTTTCCGTCTTCTTGCAGCTTTCCCTTTATTGGCAACCGATTTTAATCCGTGGATGCAGCAGAGGCAGAACCCGAAAGCCTGAAGCAACCCCAAATTTCCCAACCCTTCATCTTCCCGCTTGGAAAAACATCTGAGCGGTACCGGAGCGGCCGGGATGTCCCCCACCGTCCCCAAAAGCCGCACTCACCCGTTCGGTGGCAGCAACACAAGGTCTTTGTAGACTTTTTTTCCCCCCTTCTCCTAAGCGTGGGGTGATTTAGTCCACAGGGCTCCTCTCCAGCCAACCCCCGGGGCTGTTCGAGCTCGGAGTCAGATGACGCGGGGAAAATATCAGCCCTATTTAAGGAAACACGGAGAGGAATGCGCTTCCCCGCCGGAGGAGAGGCTCGCTTACGTCCCTCTGCGGATCAGCGTCCCCAAGGTGGACTTTTCAATCCAAGATAAAGCTCAGATTGAAGAAAAAAAAAAAAAATAAAAAATCTTTCAGCATTTTCAGCTATAGGATCAAGTCTCTTCATCTACCACCGCCACCGCTGCCCAACATACGGACCATCCGAGCACAGTCACCTCCTGGAGGGGTCACCACCTGCTTCGGCCACCACCAGGGTAAAAAATAAAATAAAAATAAAATAAAAATAAGCGCAGTGGTCATCCGGCTGCTTTAAATAAAGAGCCGGGCAGTTTTTTTCGTCTCGCGTCCAGCCATTTCGGTGGGTGACGAGCAACCCAAGGACGTCTTCCCGATGGCAATCTGGAATTCCAGCAAAACCAGCTTGATAGAACTCGTGCTTGCTGGTGGCGATATCCATCACGGGGAGGGGGGTGGTGGTGTGGAAGGGCAGTTTCTCCTCTGTGGCGTTTCCCACATTGATGGTTACTTAGAAAAGGTTTTTTTAAAGAATTTATTATATATTATTATATATTTCCCCTCCGATTTCTGTCTGCTGACAACAGGAATGGTGTTTTAAGCTGTTACAGCAAGCACGTTTTCTTAGCTACGACGTTATCATCTCAAAACCCTCAGACATGAATGATCCATCCCTCTCCTACCCTCTTCCCCCTGCTTGGGTCTTCTCCTGCCCACCCTACACCATCGCCACCCCGACCGCGGGTTGCGAGGGCAATAATGAAGGTTTCTGGCCCGATGAACTGCAGGAAAAGAGACCAAAACCACAGGGCTGAGACCCTGAGATGCTCTGGCCACTGTCGACGGGTGGGAGATGACAGCGTCCCTCCCCGGTGGGATCACACAATGGGATCCACCTCAAACGTCCCCCATTTTTAGGTGGGCAGGTGGGGCAAGATGCTGCAAGGAGAGCTCATCGGGGCTGCTGCAGGCATCATCCGAAAGGGCCAGGAGGGCTTGACGTTGAACCAGCTGGAAAAAGAACTCAAACGCTCTGGAGAGTCTCAAGTGGTTTATTGTCAGGTGGGAACGACCAGTTGGCCATCCCGTGGTGGGGCAAGAGACAAGATTAAAGGTTTTGCAGGTGGCTAAGAACAAGCAGGGATTAAAGAGGAATCCATTGGTGCGATTAAAGCGCAGTGAGATGTCGTGAAAGGTGAAGACTATGGTGTCTATCCCCTCTAGAAGCTTCAGTGATGTCCCCGACCTTCCAGCACAGCTGGCCCCATGTTGATCTCAAGCACCGGCTTGAGAGTTTGAGAGCTCCCAGTACCTCACTGGAAGCTTTATGGCAACACGATGCAGAGCTCCATGCTGGTGTGAGCCTCTTCAGACCTTCAATCCATATGGTCTGGGTGTTTGGCACCTCGGTTTTCACCTGAGGGCATCATGCCAGCTTGCTCTCAAATCCAGGCTTACCTCTTCTCCCAACGTCTGAGCTAAACTCGTGGACTCTGGCTAAGCCAGATGGAATAAGATCATCTGCCCAGGACAGATCCGAGTCAAATTTAGTCCTGCCAGAGGACACGGCTGCATCCAGGATTACAGGAGCAATGCCTTGACCAGCAGCACGGTGGCTGGAGGCATTTGGGAAGGAAACCTGTGGAGATGATGGTGAGCGAAGCCGACAGCATCGACCCAGGCGCCTCGGAGCCCCGAGGACAGTCACGGAGGGTTTGCCACGTCCTTTCTCTAGCCAAGGACAAAGGGCCTGAATTCGTACGCGGGTTGGACGAAGGAAAGTTGTTTAATCTCTTCCAAGCGTAGAATCCTTCAACAGGTGACAAAGTGAGTCCTTCAACAGGTGGCGAAGCGAGATAGGCACACGGAAATCACCATTTGCCTGTCCTGTTTTGATGTCTATGTCTAGATGAGACGAGTTGCCCACCAGAATTTCCTCTCTGCCTACCGTAAAAGCGGCTCAGAAATGGTTGAAATCTACATGTCAACCACCAACTGGTGAGAAGAAAATGGTGGTGGGAGCCTGGACTCCCACCTTGGGAGACGCAAGCAGCGTGAACAGCGACTTACCCTGGTGCCCACCTCTTTCCATCAACCGAAGGAGGAGCCTACCTCGCTCTGCAGGTCGTTTGATGTTTCTGTACGCTGGAACTGCAACTATGGGACCTCGGGCCAAGGGTTGAGGTTGGGCAGACCTTCTGCCACCTTATGTTGAAGACACGCAGGACGGACGGGCTGCATGACGACGGTCAGAGCACTCGATTGGGAATTGAGGAGAATGAGGTTTGATGCTGCTTTTCCCCAAGAACGTTTCTCTCTCCTGCAGCTCTTAACCACCTATGTGTTGCTGTCTGGATGGAGTGAGGTGCTTCCACCACTCCTCCTGCCCCCTCAAGCCACCCGCTGACCGCCAGCGCTGAGCTCTCTGCAGGCGGAGGAACACGAGGGGTCATCGGACCAGAGAGAGCGAGCCCAACTCCACCCAGAACCACGGCCGGATCCGCTCCCCGGCGAAGGAAGCCGGAGGAAAAGTGAAGATGGGTATTTCGTTCTCCACGTCAAAGAAAGCCACCTCTCCCCACTCGTAGTCTAGAGAGATCCGGATCTTTCTGGGGACGCGCGGCAGGTTAAGGAGGGTTGGAGGGGAGGTGAGGGCGCGATTCTGAAACCCCCATTGCTGCACCGCCCAGATCCCTTCCTCGGGGTTAAAGCTGAGGGGTCCCTTCCTCCGGAGGGACTCTCTGCTGACCCCAACGGCGCAGAACTGTCCCTCGGTGAGATCCACCACCCAACAGTGTCTCCCGGAGGCGAAGGCTTCGCAACCCAGCACGCAAGGGTCGGCGTCGAAGCGTTCGGGGCTGTCGGGAGGTTCTTGCAGCACATACTCCCATCGGACTCTCTTCTGGTCCTTGGAGAGGATGAGGCGGGGGTGGGCGGTCTCCGGGTCCAGCGTCACGTTGGCTGGAAAAAAAAAAAAAAAATAAGGGTGAAAAGGAGAATTAAACTTATTTAACCTGCCTTTTGCCCCCGGAGCGTCGTCGTCTCCGAAATCTCATAGGGCGTCTCGTCTTCGCGCAGTTCAATAACCAGACGTGCATTTGACAACGCGACGTCGTTCGGCAAATCAGGATATCCAATGACTTACCCATTTTTTCCTCCTCTTTCAAAAAAAAGCACAAGAAAAGGTAAGTTATTAAACAGCGATGTAAGACTTAAACCCGCAAAGCGAAAGTCGCACGCGTCCAATGGAGAGAAGCGCACTTACTGTGCTCTTCGATGCATTTTCCTTAAAAGAAAAAAAAAAAAAATTAGATGAAAAAGCAGTTTTAATAACGGTTTTTCAATTCCAAATTCATGCTAATTTTTTATTTCCTTTCCCCTCTAAAACGTGTTAATTTTTTTCCTTTTTCCTTGTGAAATAAGACCTCAGGAAAGTCCTGACCAAGATTTGTAGTTTCGGTGGGCGATTTCCGCCGCGTTGAAAAGCCCACAGAGGTGCCCAAAATAAACAACCAAAACCCAAATAATCTCACAAAACACTCTCAAAAAACCTCACCCGTCTTTTTTTACCGGGAAAAGGGAGGAAAAGGGACACTCACGCATTTTTGCCTTGTATTCCTCTGAAAAGAGAAAGGACAGAAACGGTTATTGCGCGTTTCTCGTCTTTTTTTTGTGTCTTTCTGAGGCTTTCTTGGCTCCCGAAACACAACCAGATTTCTGTGCTTAGTGATTATTATTATTAGCATTGATTTTTATAATATTAATGACATATAACTATATACTAATACAACCACGCAGAATTATTAGATAATATAGAACACAAAATACATAATTATTATATATTATCTAGTTATAATGCGTGCATCTTTATGGAAAAATTAGAAATTTCCCCAAAGTAGCTCAGAAAAAAAAAAAAAATTAAAAAAAAATAAATATAGGAGACAAACACAGACTCGTCTATCTTTCTTTCCCGCCATCAAAGCGACTTACCGAGTTCTGCAGTGAGTTCATCTGAAAAGAAATAATTTTTAAAAAAAAAAAAAAAGGAAATTTTAATCACAAAGATTTCCATCTTATGAGCACCCAAAGTTCGCGTCTCGGGAAGAAATCTGACACTCACCGATTCTCCTATCACGTTTTTCTAAATAAAGGAAAAGAAGAAAAATTAAAGTCAAAGTTGTTATAATCTATTTTTTCCCCCCCTTTATATCAAAAATAATACCAGAATGCCATAAACTGCCTCGATCTGTTGGAAGGCAGAGAAAAACACTCACCGATTTCTGCAGACAGTTCATCTTAAGAGAGGAAAAAAAATAAAACAAATAAAACCACCGATTTTTGTTATTCTCATCACGATAATTGAAGTAAAAGTCACGATTTCCCGCACTGAGTTCCGCGGGATTCGGGAAGGAGAGGGACACGTACCAATTTTGGTATCGCGTTCTCCTAAATAAGGAAAAATAGAAAGGAAAAGGGGACGAAAAAAAAAAAAGAGTTATTCCTAATGATTCCCCCCTTCGCTGTGTGTTCATCGTTTAGAGATAAATCTGCTATTTTTCCATTCCATATAGAGAATTATAACTGTAATTTGCATTTTCCCTCGGATTTTATACCGATTAACCCATCCCCTATTTGATTTCCCTAATCGTAATACCTGAGCAAGAAAGAATACTTTAGGAAAAGCTTTCATTAAAGGTTAAAAAGAAAAAAAAAAAAATTCACATACCAACTTCTTCAGTGACTTCATCTTGAGAGAAAAACACAGATTTCTGTTAGAATCTGTTTTATTCCCCATATATTTTCTCCTTCTCTACTATTATTTATCTCCTTTGCTATTAGAAGCCCCAAATTTCCTCCACTTTTGCAGTTAAATTGCGGAGAAATGTACAGAGCTGCATCTGGTGATGACATAAAATTCATTTTTTTTTTAAATTTAAACTTTAAAAAAAATCAAAATTAAAATTTTTAAATTAAAATTTTCACTATTAAACTTTGTGTCATTCGTCGTGATTACAGACCACAAACCCCCTCAAATTTAAAAGAAAAACTGAAATTAAATGTTGGGTATTTGGTGTTGGCAGAGGAAGGAAATGACTTACCAAGTTCTTCGGTGAGTTCGTCTTAAAAGAGGAAAAACAGAAAATTTTCATCACGTGTTTAAGGAGGATTCCATCAAATCAAAAGATTTTTCTGCTTTGGCAGGAAGGACAATGATGCTCACCCCTTTCCAGGTCACTCTCCTCTGGGAACCAGAAAAAAAAAGAAGAGGGGGGAAAAAATAGAGAGGAAAAGAAAAAAAAAAAAAAAACAAGATTTTTTAAAAAGAAATAGAAGGGGAAAAAAAAAAAGAGAAAAAAATCAGAATTCTTACAGAGAAAAGACAACAAAAAATAAGGAGAAAAGTGAGAATTCTTACAAAGAAAAGAAGCAAAAAACAGGAAAAAAAAATCAGAATTATTAGCCTCTATCATTTTATTTTCTTCCAAATTATATTTGCATTCTTTACTATGATTTGAAATGAATTTGCAACTTAAGCACACACCATTTTTTTTTTTTTAAAGAAAAAAAATAAATAAATCCAGCCACATCATGAACGTAACAAGATTTCTGTTGCAAAACTTGATCTGTCCCTTTTTTTGTCAAATTCAAAGGAAAATAATAATAATAACAATAATAATAATAATAATAATAAAGATTTACCCAGCTCCTCAGAAGATTCATCTGCAAAAGGAATGAGAAGAATTAATTTATTAATTTGGCATCGCCAGCCCCAGAGCCGAGCGCTTTCGGTCCTACCACTAGAAAAGAAAATAAATCATAATTCTTATATTTTTTGTTTCATAAATAAATAAATCAGATTTTTAGTCTGGAATCTGACATAGAATATGTGTGTGTATGTATATATATATATTTTTTTTTTAATACATATACACACTGATTTTTTATATATATATCCATACACAAATAATTATGAATAAAATATTCTTATAAACAAAATGATAAAGAAAATATTTAATTACAACTTTCTAAATTTTTTTTAGAGAGGAAGGAAAATATCACATACCAGCTTCCCGATCCTTCAGTTCCTCTAAGGAAAAGAAAAGAGAAAAAGAAAAAAGGTGAAATGCAGATTTTTTTTTTCCCCCCTTTTCTACCCCAGATTTTTAATTGGGGATACAAATTCCATTGCTATTTTTATCTGATATTATATTATTTTTAAATATCACCCGCACTAGCCCTTTATCTCAAAACCAATACGCAACCAGCCAACCCAAAAATAGGAGAAAAAAACCCCCCCAAACCGCCCCAAAATCTCAAATCAGTTTTGTGAAAGGAATAAAAAGGACTTACCGAGCTCTGCTGTCAATTTTCCTTAAAAAGGGGGGAAAAAAAAATTATAAAATTTGTTCTAATCCGCGTTTTTCCTTCCCAAGACTGCCCGAGGGTGGGGACGGGGGGAACTCAGGGTACCCAAATCCTCTAAGTTTGGCAGATAATTTACACTTTTTATTTATTTTATTTATTTATTTTTTATATATATATATATATATTATTTTTTTACATAATTTGATTAATTTATGGTATTTCAACCGAAATATGAAGCTAAAGCAGTAGCGGCCACATCATCCTGCTCGCGACCCCGCATTCCTCAGAAAAATAAGAAGGACACTTACTAATGACGGCGTCCTGGTTTTCTAAAAAACAAAACAAAACAAACAAAAAAAAAGGAACGGAAATGAATCAAACCCCGTTTTTCTCAAATTTTACAATTTTTTTTTAATTACGGCGCAGCTCCTCGCATGCGACGCCAGATATGTATTTCTATTTTTATAGCAAATAGAAATTTTTTTTTGGGGGGGAAACTCCCAAATTTTGCGCGTGTCGCTCCACGGAAAGGCAAGAAATAAATAAATAAAGAAAATAAGAGACAAAATGATAAAAACAAAGAGAAAAATCTCGCAAATAAAAACTGACCGGAAAGACTCACGGTAATTTCATGGAATCATCGAACGGGACAGAGAATTTAGGGGAGAGAATCAGATCTCCAGGACAATTTCCTCTAATTCCCGATGTACTTCATGGAGTATTTTCTCCAAATATATATATTTTTTGGAATTTGTAATTAAATCGAGCACTGTCTCCGAGACGCGCAAAAACTTACGAATTTCTGAATCCCGGCTCTCTGCAAAGCGAAAAAAAAAAAAAAAAAGGAAGTTATTATCAATTACTACCAATTATTATCTTTTTTTTCTGCGGGAAAAGCCTTTTTGTATTTCCTAACTCTTATTTTGTCCAAAATTCTGTTTTGATGAATGACGGCGTAGCGATATTTTGGCTAAAAGGGATGAAAAAAAGCAGCAGTCGCGCTCTGAACGCTGAATTTCTTGATGGGCGGGGAAGGAATCGCACTTACCCAGCAGCTCCGTCAGGCGCCCTGAGGACAGAGAGAGGCGGATTAGGTCAAAACAGAATTATTTTTTTTTTATTTTTTTTTTTTTTTTACACCAGAATTGTGTGTATTCTACAATTTATAATTCAATATTTATCATCTAATATCATTACATTGTTGATTATTATCGTTATAGTATTCTACGCGGCGGAAATTCTACGCGGCGGAAATTCTACGCGGCGGAAATTCTGCAGGAAAAAAAAACCAACTTTTTTATCCCATATATTGAATTTTAAACTGACTTGGGTTAAGCAAGTGACCCCCCAAAGCACGGAGTATGGAAAGTGACACTTACTTATCTCCGCTTCATTTTCCCCTAAAAGAGCGGAGAGAAAAAAAAAAAAAAAAGGAATAAATAACAAGAAACCACCACTTTTGTCTTCACATCAGGTCCCGCTATCACTGCAGCTTTTTGGGTCTTTAAATGATTTTATTCTTTTTACAACCATCACCACCGTCCGCTTAAGAACGCCTCAAGCATCAATCGCAATCAAAACTTAAAATTTGAAATAAATTTAAAGCTAAAAAGTCAAAAGAATTTAAAATTCAAAATAAATAAAAATTTAAACTAAACAAAACTTTTAAAATTTAATATTTTAATTTAGGTTGATTGCTACTATTTCATTTAGTTCAAATTTTAAAGAGGTTAAATAGTAGAATTTAAAATAAATACATAAAAATTAAAATAAAAAATTAAAATTGAAGCTAAGTCAGCACCCCGCAAACCCAAATATGATGCAATAAGTGTCCAATTTTTTTTTTTTTTAAATTTTATTTTTTATAGGGGGCAAGAAAATGCTGCTTCTGGCCCAAAAAAGCAAATATTGATTGTCAGATTCGGTTGTTGCTCTCTGCAGCCGCTATCTTTTATTTATTCCCTCTGCCCCGGGCGGGCACCAGCTCATGCGGCCGATGACCTCATCCATAAAAATAGCGATGACATCACGCCACGGCTCGCAACGCGGGGGATACTTACAGATTTTCCCCTCCCGCTCCTCTAAAAACGATAAATAAGAGAGGGAAAAAAAAAAAAAAAAA